GTATTCCACCCCATTTTCCACCCCAGGTATTCCACCTGTTTTCAAACTACACAGTGAACCTGTAAGATGGAATGGGTTATTTTTTATCACAGCAGAAAAAGACTGAGTGCACTTACAGCACAATAATGAAGGCTGCGTATTATCATCCTGCTAACTCTATTTTCTGCTTTAACCAAATAAAAACCAGTAGCAAACACAATACAAAAGTGTATTTTGTAGCTGAATATCTACCTTATAACATTCTGCCTTTTTTTTTTTTCACACTTCAAATAATATAAAAATACTTTTGGAAACTATTTGATGTAAATATTATTCTGTATCTCCTTTTTGAATTACTGTGAATACATTTCATGTCTGAAATGCCTGCTTGTGAGGCTTTTTGTATTATAAGGTAGCACCATACTTGCTAATGAAGCAGCTGGTACAGCGTTCTGTTAAAAAACAAGAGCCATGAAAGCACTGACCTGCTTTCCTGTGGCTTCTCATTTTAGTACACATAATTTGGTAAAGCACTTATTGTCATTTAGCTCAGGTTGGAATGGACCTCGAAAAACCATTCCTTGTTTAGCACCCTGACCACCTGACTTTAAAACCTCCATGATGGGGACTCTACTAAAGCCCTGCAACATTGATTGTTTTCACTGTAAAAAATTCCTCTTTTATATCAAAATTAAACCTCTCTGAGTACAGCTTGTGCCCTTTGCTTGTTGTCCTCTGTGTGTGTGTCCTTGTGAAGAGAGAGCATTCATGATTTTTGTGGCTGCCTTTTGGGAGCTGGAAAACTATGATGAGATTCCCTTGAGCCTCCTCTTCTCCAGGGTGAAAAGAGCTAACTCCTCAAGTCTTTCCCCACAGAACAGGTTCTCCAGCTCTCTGATCGCCTTTGTGGCCCTCCTTTGAGCCCTCTCCAATGTGTTTGTGTCTTTTTTTGAATGGTTGCATACCAGGACTGGGCACAGTACTGCAGGTGTGGCCTTTCAAGTGCAGACTAGACTGGGATGATCACAGCTCTGTCTCTCCTAGTTATGCTCCATGGGTGCAGCCCAGGATCCAACCTGCCTTCCTTGCTGCAGCAGCACACTCTGGACTCATGTTATCTTGTCCACCAGGATTTCCAGGTCCCTTTCACCAAGGCTCCTCCTCAGACAGACGGATTCTAGCCTGTCATGGGAACTTTGGTTATGCCATCCCAGGGGCACAGCCTTGCACTTGTCTTTGTTAAAGTTCATACTGTTCTTTCTATCCCACTCTTCCAGCCTGTCCAGCTCTCCCTGTAAGACATCCCTTCTGACATGTTCAACGCACCACATAGCTTGGTGCCACCACCAGATTTGGTGAAGGTTTTGGGATTTTCAATCCCTTCATCCAGACCATTGAGGAGGATGTTAAACAGCATGCAGCCCTATAGGGTTTGGGTAGGCAGGAATTCCTCCTGAGGTCTTGCAGGAGCAGAAACTCCCTTGTGTTTTGTAGGTGTGAGCTTCCCCTGTAGCTGATCAAAGGAGGAGGAAGTCATCAGTGAGAGAGGAATTAAATGGAAAACTAAGCCGAGAACCAGCTTCCTTCAGGTAAGCATCAGAATTCAGAGTTTGGTAAAGGAACCTCTGCAGCTATAAATCCTGAATCAGCCCTTTGAGCCAGAGGTTCCCACTTGGACTCAGAGAGGGAGGCAGAGAAGCTGAGCTCTAATACCAGCAGGAGCTGAGTGCCAAGCTCAGCCCCGCACAGAGCTGGGATATTTAAAGCTGTGTTTGCTCCTGAGAGAGGCAGTGCCTCTGACCCATCCTTAGACAGACAGGGGGCCAGAGCTCACCATTAGTATTTACTTCAATATGATTTGCTTTATTTTTAAAATATTTTTTCTTGATTTTGAGCCTTCAGAAGACTCTTTCTGCTAAGTTATAATAAATCTCTCTATTCAGGGTGGAAACACTGATCTCAAAAATTTGAAATTTGTTCCAATGCAGATAAGACAGCAGTGTAAGCTACTGGTGTCATTGCATTCTAGTGATCGCCTGGTAAATATTGAATAGGATTCAAAACAGGCATCTTGAAACTTCCGCAGCCAATCTTTTCTAGTTAGCTGGATGATGACACTCCTCCAATAAAGCATTAACCTTCTCTAATGTCACTGTTTCACTGAATTACTCATATATGGGAGACATTTTTTTTCTGGTTATTTATCACCCAAGCCTAGAATCCATTACAATTGCTCATATAATATCGGCGGTTCTGTGTACGTACCTGAGAAAGGTCTTAAACAATATGATTACACTTGTGTTGCCTGGGAAGTAGGGAAAAAACTCACTCATTTTTTGTGCAGATGGACATCACTGTGACTGGGGAAGTTACTAATATTTGATTTTAATATTAATTGGTGAGTTGGTGAAAACAACCCTATTAGACCACTTCAACACAAAAATAGCAGACATGCTTTTTCCTGCTTCATTCATTACCTCTCAGTAATCTCAGCTGTGAAGGGAGTCAACTGCAGACTCCAGATCCTTGGAAAATATAATGAAAAATCCACTTTTATTCAGTGTTTTTCCTACTATACAAGTTAGCCGTTCCTTGTGGCTTATTTTTTTGCTACTTAAAATTTAAATGGTCCATCCTACCTTATCAACTGCATAAAAGAGACATTTTTATCATTAAAGACATGGTAGAATCCTTAGGATTTACTGTTTGTTCTCAAAATTAAATCTCTGGTGACAAAAATGCAATATTTTTATTTCCCAAGTCCATTGTTTCAATACTGTCATTTATTTAATCCATATTATAATTTCCTTAAATTCAAAGCCTTTTGCTCTGGCTGCAAACAGTATTCTCCCCTGATTTTCTTTTGATTATTTTTGAAATATTTTTGTGCAGTCACAAGCACATCTATAAAATTACACACATCTTGCTGTGTGAGACAGCCAATCCTGTCTGTCATGTATCACTTTAGAGACATCAGAGACAGTTTTGTTATCAATGCTCATTGTTCCATTGACTTGAGTGAATTTAGATGAGCTTCATTGTGAGTTTATCTGATGATGGACCTCTGGTGAGGATTAGGCATAACCTAACAGCTACTGCAAATTGCATTTAGCCTTTACAATTAAGCAGACAATAAATAAATCAATGGAGGAATTAGTAGACTGAATGGTCTCCTCAATGAAAACAAGCTGAGCAGTCGCTGAGATGGCCATTAGTCAAACTAAGCTGGGAAAGGCAGGCTTCAGACTAATCAGACTAATGCTCTTTTTTTTTCTCTGAGCAGTGAGATTTAAAATTTCTATGGAATAAAGAAAGACTAATAGCATTCTTCAGAAAGAAAATTGTGGGAATGAGAACATCAATTGTAGGAATGACTGATAAAATTATTTAACTGACACCAACATAAAGATAGATTTAGACAAAAACTTATGAAGGGCAAGTGATGGATTAAGCTTTTCAGTATACAAGAAGGCTTTCTTTTGCATCTGACTCTAGTGGAGATGAAGAGATCATTTCACTCTAATTTGACAGGAAGGTGCCAGTACTGTGGATGAAAAATCGGAATAAAACCAGCAGGTTCAAAAACATTTCAAATACCTTTTACAGGAACATCAAAAATAAAACTAGTCAAAGCTCACAGAATTAACACATTTTTGTAACGTTTCTTGAATGCAAAATTGGACATCTCTTGATATAACTTCTGGGTTTATTTTTTTTTCAAATAACAAAAAGAAAAAGATTTTGTGCACAAAGAAGCTTTATGTTTCAAAAATTGTCTAGTGGAAGTTAACAGCTGAAAGCTAAGGAATTTCAGTCAAAAGTGCAATTTTGGTACGGTAAAGGACAACACCACTTTGCAAAAATTATATTGCTATTTTCCATATCTATCTAATCTGAATTGTGAGGATCATGCAATAGGTGAGAGAATACCTTAAGCAAATGATAAAAAGTATAAAATAAAATCTGCAAAGCTGAGCTTCCTATGTATGTACATTTAAGAATTGCATAAAATAAACTTTATCCCAGCAGTTTTAGCTCAGAGACCAAAAGACAAGGCTAGGCTATTACAGCCCTACTGCATCCAACAAAAGAGGGTAGCAAATGGAAATACAAGACACAGCTGCTGCTTCTAGCTTGGATTGTGAACATTATGCTACATTAAAGTAAAAAAAATCTTGCTTTTAAACCAGTGAATGATAAATGTGATGTTCAAAAGTTTGCAGAGACTCTAGCAGTTTCTGGAAAAGCAGCTGTAAGTAGAACATATTCTGTGCAACATCTCTGGCGTTTTCTTATTGAAAGAGAAATGAACTTGAGGGACACAGTGAATAAACTAATTTGTTGTAGAGAAAGTACAATTTTGCTGGGGGGTAAAAATGGAGCTAATACTGGAATCTCTGCGTTGTAATTCAGTTTTGCACATCCCGATGCCAGCTATAACCACAACTAAGATAAGCGAACTGGTGAAACTCCGCTGGTTGTAAACGCACAGGCCGGGGCTGCTCTAGTCGCTGCAGAGAGCTAAATCCCTGGTGTTTATATCTAACCCCGAAAGAAATGCTGCCTCAGACACAGAGCGGCAGCAAGCACAGGCCCTGACAGCTCCTCTCCCTGCTGCTGGACAGCAGGCACGGGCCAAAGGGATTGAGTGAGCCCAGGAGCTGCAGGGCTCGGCAGCGGAGCGGAGCGGAGCAGAGTACTTCTCTCAGGCACCCTCCTTCTCTCAGGCACCTTCCTTCTCTCAGGCACCCTCCTTCCCTCAGGCACCCTCCTTCCCTCAGGCACCTTCCTTCCCTCAGGCACCTTCCTTCTCTCAGGCACCTTCCTTCCCTCAGGCACCTTCCTTCCCTCAGGCACCTTCTCTCAGGCACCTTCCTTCCCTCAGGCACCTTCCTTCCCTCAGGCACCTTCCTTCTCTCAGGCACCTTCCTTCCCTCAGGCACCTTCTCTCAGGCACCTTCCTTCCCTGAGGCACCTTCCTTCTCTCAGGCACCCTCCTTCTCTCAGGCCTTCCCTCAGGCCTGTCCCGTGCCCGTGTCCCAGAGAGGAGCCGTGCACTCCCGGGTCCCCCGGGCGGGCGGAGGCGCAGGCACCGGGCAGGGCTGACGGCCCCGCGCCGCAGCTCCCGGCTCCCCGCGTCGTGCTCCCGAGTGCCTCTAATTGGATTGCCGTGATTTCTGCCCTTCCTAAAGCGGCGGGCGGCGGGGGGAACGGCCCGGGGGAGGCGGGGGGAGGCGGTGGGCGGCTCTCGGCTCCGGGCTCCGCCGGCGCGGCCGCTCCGCAGCCCATAAAGCGCGGCGGGAGCGCGGCGGGGCCGCGGCCATGCAGTGAGAGCCCGCCGTGGGACCAGCCCCGCTCCGGCCTCGCCACGGGAGCGCTGCGAGGGACACACCGCCCCAGCTCAAGGTACCCCCAGCCCCGGCCCTCCTCCCAGCGGGAATTGGGCTGCCCAGCCCTGCGGAGCCGGTTGGCTCGCAGCCGCTCCCCGCGCAGCCGCCCGCGCCCCGGGGCAGGCAGAGCCTTTACCCCGCCGCGGTTTCTTCCAGATGCAGAGGTGCACCGGATTCCTGTTTCTGTCTTTAATCCTTTGTGCCGCCCTCTCGGAAACACTCGGGCTGGTTTTCTCAGTAAGTATCCGTGTCTCAGCGAGCGAGGAACCACCGCGAACGTCCCACGGATACACACTGTTCTTAGACATAGGGATTGCAAAGGATGCAGCACCCAAAACCATTTCGGGCTACAAACAGTTTGCCTTTTTTTTTTTTTTTTTTTTTTTTTTTCTTTCCAGCTAAGAATTTGGGGATTTTAAATACTAGCTCCCTTGTAAAAAAATACTATGACAAAGAATGTCTGGTTGCTAGACCAAAATTGAATGGGTGTCCCACCTGCCTCCGAAAAGATGATGTACATATGGACTTCTTTTATGAAGAGGCTGTCATGTAAATCCAAGCAATAAAAAGAAGCTTTTGCTAAGGTGGCTATCAAATATAACAGTGGTAATATAAATTTCAAGTATAAAGTCTTAATTTCTGCCTGCAAAGTGTGATTTGCAGTCATCGCTTATGTGGTGTGAACAGTCAAACCACATGGATGTCAATAGCAACACTATAGACTTAGACAGGGAGGGGCAAGAGCTCCCCATGAATATTTACTTCAGTATGATTAGCTTTATTTTAAAATATTTTTCTTGATTTTGAGCCTTTAGAAGACTCTGCTAAAAGAATGTCCTTTTCAGTGTAGGTGGTGCAATAACATACTTGTGGTTTTTTCCTTTAAGGCGAAAGACAAAAGGGGTTGGACTTTGAATAGTGCTGGTTATCTACTTGGGCCACGTAAGTGAGGCACTTCTTTTTTCGTTATTTCAAAATGCAAAAATTGTGTTATTCACTTCTCTGAATACAGCAGTTTTGTCTAAACCTGTGAGACTGAGCAAACTCATTTGGAAAAACACTTGTTTAGATGTTTGTTACATGCCTATCACAGAACTGAGTTGCCTTGGACGACAGCTGTTCTTTTCTAAAGAAGTGTGATGGGAGGCCTTATGTCCAGGAACACATCTGCTCACATTTTGTGCTTCTGAACTGTAATTTTCATATGACAAATACGTCACCACCAGAAGTGTTAAAAAAAAAAAATCTTACAGCATCTTAGATGTCAAGGCAGAATGACAAAATGTGTACCTCTCCACCTATTTCAGATTTCTCCTTTAAATCTTTTTACAAACTTTCACTACTTGACTTTATTATACTACATTTTTAAAAAAAATTAAAGCAAAATAAATTGAAACAGTAACTTGCAAACTCAAGACTGTTAACAGTTCACTATGTGAAAAATCAATATACAACGTGTTCAAAATACAGGAGTACTGGTTTACAGGTGAAGATAACAAATGCAGGTTGTAAGAAAAGTAATGCAGAACTAAGCTGTCTCAAATATTTGTCCTTCTACCATTAATTCTTGTGAATGTGGTAACATTCATCACCAGTGTTTCTATATTTTCAGTCTCAGTAGCACATAGACAAATGCTACACATACTTACTCTGACACTCTTCATTCTTTTTATCTAACAATAAGGATGCATAAAAAAAGAGAAAATAGGTTTAAATGTGTTAACTGGTTCTGTAAATGTCTGGAAGTATATTTGCTCAAAGCAGATCTAAGCAAATTGGAAAAAATACTGTCGGGAAATGATCTTGTCAAAGAATTCTATTTCACATCTAAGACTGGATAATTGGAATCATCCTTTGATGCAGGTCATATTCATGAGCTTTTACTGAGGTCATATTGATAAGCAGCAGGTCATATTGATAAGCTTTTACTGAGTCAATTAAAGCCTCTGATTTTTAATTTATTTATCAGATGCAGTAGATAACCACAGATCGTTTAATGACAAGCATGGTTTCACTGGTAAACGTGAAATACCGCCCGATGAGGATATTAAAGCAGGTAATGAAAGTCTGGAAACAAGCATTTTCGATTTGTTTTTTGTGTTAAGTAATTTATTTACTATTGAAATGACTACTTGGATACAAAACTATTTCTGCATTTCAACAGAAATCCTACTAAACATATGAAAGGAAGAAAAGTGACATTTGGCCACTCAGTGTGATCTTTGTATGGTCATAGATTACAACATCTAAGTGACTAGGAAAATGTATCATAATTTTGTTGCTCTAAATGTGTAATAGATCATACAGCTTTGAAAAAACTTTGTTTTTTTCTCTTTTCATATGTTAAAGTAAGTATTTCAAATGCCACTCTAGCCACTCCAGAATTAATTGGTTTTTGGCAAAGAAGAGAGTCCATAAAGGCACATTTCAGTAATGAAGGCTATAGAAAATACAAAGTCTCAGTATTTCCTTTGATTAAGCCAGGTGGATTATCTTCATTAAAAGACTGAGAACCTGCTTACAACTGAAGTCAAAATGCTTAGATGTTGCACGTGTCAGAATTTAGTAAACGGCAATGAAAAGGGTGCAACATGTTTCGGATTTGTCATCCAAAGCTGGGCCTTTAAAATATATGTCTGGACTCCCTTAATGAAGAGAAGCTGACAATTTTTAGGCTTTATTTTGAACACCTATTTCAGGATAAGGTGCAGAAACTTCTAGAAAAACCTGTTTTATGTCCTGAGGGGACACTAAACCTGCTGCAGGCATCTAAAGTGAGCTGGGATAGATCTCATCCTTAGGCTGATAAAAGTGACCACAGTACTGAGTACATTTATCACTGCACTAATGGGGGCAAAACAAAGGTTTTGGAGCCTATTTTAAATGGCACCCAGAACAGAAAAAATGTAACTAACACTAAGTAAGTTCATAAATAAAGGACATGTGTTTAATTACCATCTCCTACATGCATACTTCATAAAGAGAGATTAAGAGAAACATTAATAAATTTCTTAATTGTTAATGCTCTCTGAAGGACTGTCCAGTTCTGGCACAGTTACACAGTGGGGCTTTGGGGTTTGTGTGGGGTATTTTTTTGGTGCTGTGCTTTAGTTTGGTTTGTTGGTTTTTAAGGAAAAGAAACCAACTCTGCTGTCTCAAATACAAAAGGGTTAAACAATATATGGGTTAAACAATATATGGCCAGTCAAAAACAATGCAAAAGTAAGGGATTGGCAATCCAGCAGTAGAGATCACTGTGCAAAATGTAGCCATTTGTGCATATCCCAGGTCCCTTACAGGAATATGAACTTAAGGATTTATAGAACTCTCTTGCTTGAGCCTCCACAATTGCAGATAAACCCAACCAAACTTGTCAGGATGAGACTTCAAAATTACACAGCTGCCTCTGCCATGAACTTCATTCTCTTCCCTCACCAAATGTCTTTTTGAAGCTGAAGTTCATTACAGAGTTCCTACCCAAAGGAGATTTAAATATATATGTGTATATATATATATATATATATATATATATATACAATGCATAAGAAATGCATAAGGTAATCAATATATTATTTTAATTGAAAATGAAGGATTTCTCCTGATTATTTGCAAAAGCTCTTTAGAATGGCAATATATGCACATATTATTTTATTAATGTGAAAGAGACCCTGAAAAGGACTGTGCTCTCCTTGAAGGAATACTGCAAAATTCATAAGCTCTCCAGGTAGCCTAGAAAAATTTCTAAGCTGAATACTAGGTCCAGGAAAAAAAAAAAAAAACCCACAACAAAACGACAACCACCTATAAGCATAATTAGTCAAATCTTCAAGTTACAAGATCATAATGGTTTGTTGACTGAAATCTGCAAGTTATTCACTATGCAGAATTAAGGTAAATAGCTGAGCAATACATAATTACACTATTTCCAAGTCATGGAGAAAAAATGTTTATCCAAAAAATATCACATGCTTAATAAAATCTTGACAAAAATGTGACTGATATGATAATAACAAAAATTCATAACAGGTTAGGTGGGAATAAAAGCTAAGTAAAAATTAAAATAAAAGAGTATTATTAATGCAAATAATATCTTTGTATGAGTTTGAAGACTGGAAGACAAGATTTTTTAGGTGCAAGCCTATTAAATGCATTCTTAAATGCTTATTCTCCTTGTACCTTTGTGTCCCTTGCAACTCTCATCAATGTTTTAAATTTGTGCTACTGAGCTCAGTCTGCCTTCGGACCCATCTGATAATGTTTTCAGTGATGTAATAAGGTGCAGAAAGCATCCTTCTCAAAATTGCAATAACAAGCATCCATTACACCATTAAAATAGCATCCAAAAGCTGTTTTCACAAGTGTATTGGATTAGATACCTGTGTGAAAACACAGCTTTTTGGACTTGTAGAAAAACACCCAGGCCTAGGTTTTGGGCCAAAAATCACTTCTATATCATTTGAAAGGCTTGTTTGGAACAAAGTTGGGCTATCTGAACAAACTTTTAACTGTTCTGTAAAGCTCATTAATTTGTTTTCTAAATTTGAAGTTTAACCTATCCTTGCAGGCTCAGGTGGACATAAAGGAGAGAGCTGGGAACAGAGGCTAATCCTCTTCTGCAACAGATCTCATAAGGCCTAGAGACCACAAGCATTAAGGTGCCAAAGCAGCTGCTGTGCAGCAGTGGCATACAAAACTGGGTAAATTTGAGTCTGAGAATTGCAGTTACTTCCCTTATAGGGGCTTTGCCCTTCCATGAGGTTTTCCATCAAGGATTTTGAGGAAAAAGGAATTTCAGATAGTTTTGGTGTTTTTTTTCCCTCCCCAGAGTGCTCATAGACTTAGCCACACTGTCTCATATGATGTGTCTTTGAACCAGGTTAACTGTGAGTAACACCAGCTTGTTTTACAGGGAGCCTTGGAAGACCCCTGGCTGATGAAAACATTGTGCGCACAGTAATTGAATTTTTGACCTACTTGCATCTGAAAGGTTAGTGAATAACTTTTAATCTTTCACAGTTTCTGGGAGGAAATTTACTGAGGAGACAAGACTATCCCTTAATGTACACATCTGCTGCAGGTTTGAGTGTGCAAGACTTGCAACAGCACCTCTGGCATCACTCACACAGAGTGCAGGTGACCCTGGAAAATTGCAGCTCAGTGGAGATCTGATGTGGCAGAGTTCTGATACCATTCCATCACTTGTTAGTGCCAAAAGAAACACATCTCTCTTTTTGCACCTATTCTACAATAAAGTTGCAAGACAAAATTGCAGCAACACTAAGCTGAATGTTGGCAAACAGCTCAGAGTGCTCTGAAGTAAAAACTCTGTACAGTTTAGGTCTTCTAAAACTGTCAACAACATGTATAAAACCATAATACATAGTTGCAAAGACACCAACAGGTAGAAAAAAGTTATTCTACTGCAAGTGTTTGAGGATTTTTTCTGTCTCAAAAAGTAGACAATTCAATAAATCAGTAACTTCCACGTTCTTACCTTTGTATACAACAAATTATAAGCAACTCTGTGGCGAGTGTATGCTGTGAACTGTGTGTACATTTGTGTTTTAATTTCATTATTAAAAGAGACTTTCAACGGATTGGTTCATTTTCTGCATAGCTGGGATGCTTTTGACTCATTGTTTTCTGAATTATTTGTATCCACCCAAGGAAAATAATTCTCATTACTGAAAATGTGAACCCAATGTTTATTGAATTGAATTTGCATTTGAAAACAAAACCTCTTTATAGCTAGTCCTAAGGGTCTGAAATAATTCAAGTACATATTTAAAGTAGCTTATTAGCATATATATTTACTGTGGACCAAGTAGTTTGTTTGCTGTACCACTGTGAAGAAAGAGCCCAAAACTCTCCTTTACTCTGCTGTGTGAGCCTAGGAAGTAAAATCAATATTTGGACACAGGAAAAAGGGTGTAAAATAACCTCAATCACACACCTTCTGCGTAGGCTAAAAGCTACTAAATCAGACAAGAAAATAAAAAGCATCTCACAGAAATACAAATGGCTTCTTCCCTGCAACAAATGAACTAAAAGAGTTCCTTTTTTAGGACAGTAATGACAAACAGTTGTTTTTATTCAGAAAAGGTGGTGGTATTACCATGTCCTCACGAAAAACAAAAAATGAACCTGCAGATCTGGCTTTTTGCAGACATAGTTCTTGTAGTCTCTTGCAAGAGACACAGAATGTTGTCACATATTATCTATTAACAATATTTATTGGAAAGGCTTAGTACAAACTCTTACACAAACCCAGAACTGTAAATTAGGCAGGTGAAAACCATATTTTTTCATGATAGAAATCCTTCAGCAGATTTGCTTAAATGAAACCTTACTACATTAAAGACATTGGTTTAGATTTGTTCCTTGGTGGGGGAAGGGGGAAAACCCCACTCATGGGGTTCAGATTCAGGCAATAGCTATGCAGATTAGATGTACATTTTAATCTGCAAGAAAAAGGCAGTATTTTTGCTGCTAAGAAGTGCCTTGGTAATAACTAAAAGTGGCCTTCATCTCTTTCTCTTGGAAATTATTCCCTCCAGCTGTAAGTGCTTCTCATAAAGAGCAACATGTAGAATGGCAGCTGTAATTGGATAATATTAAGTCTTATGAGATTCTGGGATCCAGCAGTATCAATTGACATAATAAAATTAATGTAATTGTTGTTCTGTCACTGCTGTTTCTGAAATGTTGAAATTGTGTCAGGAAGATATTATTGACAATCAAAAGGCAAAAAAGCCAGTATTTTACAAATTAAAATATGAAAAGTTCAAAGATTTGTCTTTTATAATTGAGAAAAGTATTACAAAAATTTGTATTACCGAAACTGGATTTCATTACTTAATTGCTAAGATAAATATGCATATTTACATATGTGCTAATTATAATTTTTTCCCTATTTTGCAGAGGTGGGAGCACTTGACAAGCTACCTACACCAGAGGAAATGAACCAGTCTTGAAGAATGCGTTTTTATTTTGTTGCAGTGTAGATTTAGACTGAATTCTAAACAAAAAACCAAAATGACCTGAAGTTAAGAAGTATTGTTTGCATTGATTTGATAAATGGCAAACAGTGTTCTGCCCTCTGGTTGGTTTGTTGGATTATTTTTTGCTTTTTTTTTCCCTTTCCCTCCCTCTCCTGCAATGTCATCGTGTATAATTTTGCTTTGGTCAATTTTTTCTGTAGGTAAATGATAAAATAAAAATAAAGAGCAACAAAGTTGTTTCATTTTAAAATTATGTACATACCAGCACACAATGCATCATATAGAAAGCTTGGGGTAAATTGTAAGGTTACACTGCATCTATACTCTGTGATATTAGAGCAGAATACAACATATACACAATATATATATTAGGTACTTTAAATAACAGAAAAACAACTTCAGAGTGCTGCCCTGCGAATCATTTGGAGTCACAGATCTGTCTATAGTTCTGTGCTTCTAGGAAACATTACTCCCTGTTCATATTTTCATAGACATGACATAAACTCCTGTTCCTAATAAATTTCATATTATTCAGCTGTACTACACCGGCCCATTGGCTGGAGCATACCTTGATGCCATGCAAATTTAACTGTTTTGTGCAGGGTTACACAAATCTTATGTGTAGGATTCCCATGTCTTGGAGAACACTGGGGCTGCAATCTTAATGAAGAAAAGCTCCTGGCTGCTGCAAGATTGAAAATACACTTCATGAGATGCTTTATTCTGAGTCCAGCAAAGCACTTGGATCCATGTTCAATCCATGCAAAACAGCTTTGATGTACTGGACCAGGATGCTAGGCCTGCACACAATAAATGTCAGATCCAGGCTGAGGAAAGGTTTGAGAGGTTACAGAACCTTGGAAAGGTTTTTCGTACTCAGACGACTTCCAGCCTCTGCACAGTGCAATGAAATATCATCCTTTCAAAATCCTGACGTGCACTGGAGTGCACAGACTGACAGAAAATTTGCAGACCTTTATCATCTAATCTGTTTTTCACTTTTAGCATAGCAGAATTCTAAAGGCCAAGCCACTAGTGTGTGCTTTGTACCCACAGAGCCATCCCACCCTGTCACTCGGGCTGTGCTCTTCCTGTGATAGTCACTCAGCCGCTGATCTCATGTCTGATGTTTTCACTTTCCAAAGGGTGGAAACACACTTCATGTCAGATCCAGTGAGCCTCTGAGCAAGCCCTTCACACTACTGTGTTGTACTGGATTTCTTCTTGTTTTTTCAGAGTAATGAAAAAAGTATACACTGCTAATAGATATGCTGCTAGGTCAGCATTATTTGGCAAATTTATGGGCTTCCCAAAATGTCAAAAAAAAGACCAGAGTGAAATTTAACCTCTACATTGGTGTAGCTCAGAAAGTCCAAACTCTCATTTCCACTAGTAATGTCCACACTCCTCACATAACCTTGAAGTAGAGCTCACTAACATCAAGAGGTTTTCTTTTTGTGGACTTCTGTGGACTTTGGCTCATTGACTGCCAAAATCCAGGATCTATTTGGAGAGCCCAGTAGCAAACCATCTCTGGTAAAGCAGCTGAATCTATGATCAAATAAAAGGAACTTCATCTTAGCATTGAATTTCTTTCCTTTACAAAAAGGATAAGAAATTAGAAATAATAGGATAGAATTAGAAAACAGTTATTACGTTGATCCAATTCACCTTTGACCTTCAGCTCCTTAGAGTTGGAGTCATCCTGTTAGAATAGTTATTCAAAATTCTGAAATTTGAGATTATTTGAAAGAGTGGAAAACTCATAGGATCAGGAAGATTTAAGGCACCGTCTAAACAGGGAGGCTCACAAGGTTTTACATTGTGCTGCACTGTTATATGTATATATTTAGAAACCAGATTATTATAAACTAATTACCAAAAGCAAATATTTTTACAATGATTTTCATACACAAAGCAACTAAATAGGTGGGAGATGAAAATCTTAAATGTTGTGCTAAAAGTGCTTTTTCTTGTAACCCAAGATATAATGATTAAATGCCAAATGATGATAAAATTGCCAAGTAACACTTTTAAACTCCACACCCAGAAAAAGTCAGAAAGCTTTTCCATACATCTCCTGATGAAATTGCGGCACAGGACTCTATGGAAGCCATAGGTTTTGAAACAGTTATATTCATGGAAGAAAAGTCCTTCAAGCTCCAAATGTTTAATTAATTTTTTTTTTCAGATGAAATTAGGTACATGAGAGCATAGAGCTATAAAACAACCCTTAGAACCTGATCCAAGGATTAATTAAACAGAACTCCTTCAGCTGCACAGCATTTCATGCCAGTTTACAAGAGAAACATGGAAATCATATATATTTGGCTAAAAATTCTGCAGAAATACTGAATTCTGAGCATTACCTATAACAAAAAAAACCCTATAAGTTTATACAATGTTTCATCTACCTGCCAGGTAGTCTCATTAAAACTTGTTTAAATGCAAATCAGCTCAGCATAAAAGGGGGAATTTCTGGTGGCACAGCTGGCACAGAAGAGTCTATTCAGATTAGGAAGTCATCAGGGAGCTGACAGGATACATGTATTTTCCCACCTGTCTGCTCATGTAAAGGTCAGGCTGCAGCATTAGCATAGAAAAATTAGGCAGGACTCAGAGCCCTGAGGATGTTTGAGGGGTTGCCAGAATCCTGCTTCCAGGTTTAATGTTACCATGGTTCAAACTGCAGCTCCTTTTGCCTGAGGTCGTGGAGAAGCTTGGTGTGAGTCCATTTACAAAAGATCCTGACATATCCTTAAGTGCTCTTTTGTATTTCCAAAGAGATGAGGAGATATGATACAAGATAGCGCATGGATTAATGTGTTTACATTAATAACCCCCCAAAAAAGTGGCAGAAGTATTTTAAAATTATTTCAGGATACGTGACACAAAATGGAAGCAAGTTAGAGAAGTATTTTGCAGTTTGTCCAGAATGCACATTACCTCCGGAGTTTTCCAAGTTTTAAAGGGTTAACAGAAAGTTTAGACTCAAGTGCTATTAGCAGAACAATTTTTCACCAATTCACAGAGTATTTTAATGGTGCAGTGCTTCTGTCACTATTTTGTGTTTTATCACTTCTTTTTAAATAAATGCCAATAATAATTCTGATACCTAATTGTATGAGGACTGAGTGTGACCCAGCCATAGCAAACTACACCTCACTGATCCCTTTACTACCCAGATTCAGTAGCTGAGTGTACAAATAGCAAGTTGATAAGGTTTTTTATTACCTCAGAGCACTGGACATTTGTCAGTGCATGTGCCACACTCAGAAACTCCCAGAGCTGAACTGTGAAAAGCCAGGGCTGAACTGAAGATGAGAATTATCTCCTTGCTTGTAAAGGAGCAAAAACGGTATCAAAAATTTATTCTCTAAAACTTTATCAAATTCCCTTGAGATTCTACTTATGCATTTCTAATTTAATTGATCTCCACAGATTTTTTTCTAATTAAGTATATATAAATCACACAACCTTTCTGAGTGCTAGGAGACATGAGTCCAATACAGAATGTCTGCCTGAGGAGAAATTCTAAAATACCTGTTACCATTCAGATTGGATTTTTTTACAATTTCTGAAATAAATGTTGCCTATGTATCACTCACCAACACAAATATAATTAATTCAGAATGTAATGTTTCTATATTTTCCCCTTCAAAACATTCAAAACAAGATATTGTATTTCCTTGAAATTATTCTATTCCATTAAAAATCATTCTACTGGATAATAACTGATCAGATTTATGAATGTTGTGGCTATTATTTACATTTATCAATATTAAAGCTAGCATTTCTTGACAAAATCGAAAACTGATGCTTGAATTATTTACATCAATATAAGTTCCCATGTCATCTCTTAAGGAGTATTCTTTGCTTACTATTTATTCAGATGACAGTGTAGGAGAATCACACCCTGATTCCCTAAGGTCTTTCTGCAATTTGATTATGTTACCTGATTCTTCTTCAACTTCTGATCTAAAAGATAGCAGCTTTAGGAATCATTAGCTTTCTGATAGCTTTCATATCTGTTGTTCTCTGCAGCAATTAAAGTAATAAAGTGTTCTACTTAAAGTATTCTCCAAAGGTTTCTGTGAGAATTTGGTGCATCTTTTTTGCAAATCAGAGTTTGAGGACACTTAGGTTGAGTGAGTGCTGCTAGGGCTCTCCACGGGCACTCTGGGCTCTGGAAATGAAGGGGGCAGTTCTGAAAAATGAAATTTGCATCTGCTCCCTGCTAGCAGAGCGTGGGTGCTGGCTCTGAATCCAGAGCAACCTTTTAAATGAGACATTTGGATTTCCTCCTTCAATTCAAGCAGAATGAACCCAGGCCCTAAGGCTTAGAGATCCAGTAGAAGCAAACAGGAAAAATAACCATGTTTTTACAGCTAAATGTTACATTTTTGCACCACTTTTCAAAACACAGTTTTTCAAATTATCCCTGCTTGGTTTTCCTGCTGACTACCCACTTAGCCCCTGTTTAAAAATAAAGCTCACCAAATCCAAGATATAAGGGCTAAATCCTGACCTATGAAACAAACTGCAGTGGTTCTGTTGACCTTGAAAGTACATTTATTTATATTAGCTAAGGTTCAACTTCATCCAGTACAGCAATGTTATTAAAAGAAATGAATTTTAACAAATCTCAGATCTTACATAAAAAATGAAATTTCAGAAATAAGACTACAGTCACCCTCATGCCATCAACAATACTCCTCCTTTCCACCTGCTGCAAAGCACGCTGTTCATTAATTCCTACTGTCACTTTGTGCTATCAGAACCATCTACTGATTCTAGACATTAAAGAAATTATTCTCTATCTGTGTATTATTTATTTAATATCTGTGAAATTTTACTTAATTTCATGTAGTTCAAACTATATAACACTTTTCCCCCCAAAATATTTTCATTTTGCGTTTCTGTCTAGTCCATTTTTATTTGAATTCCTTTTGCAGTGCACATTATCGATGGTATTTTATTGTTCACCAGAGCACTCAACCATCTGTTTAAACAGACATAATAATTTTGTCATGTTAACCATTATTTTGATATTCTTCTCCCCATTATAGCTATATTTTAGCATAAAACATAGTAATTATCAAAAATTAATATTTGTGACAGTGCTCATAAGCCAGATATTGCTGACTGGATGAAGGAAAGAAGATGTAACTTGTTTTTTTTCCTTCTATCATCTATAGTAGTTATTAAGCATAAGCTTTATTCTTCACCTCAG